AAAAACAAATTTTAAATATCAAAAATAACTTTTAACTTTACATGAATCACGCCAATCGAGTTCTAAATGGTCAAACTTACAATACTAAAGCAAAAAATAGATAAGGTCACAATGGTCATTTCATTCCAATAGTTGTAAGTTGTAACAAAGCAATGGAACACATCTTTTGCAACAAATTGTCCTTTCATATATTCCCTCACATTTCAAGGCAAACATCCTTAACCCCTTACACCCTACCCTACCCTACCCTACCCTACCCTACGTCGCCTCCCCTACCCCATCCCCCTTTATTCCTTCTATTTACACTCTCTCCCTTTCAAAATCATCTCCACTTCTTGTTCCTCTGCAAACACTCCCTTCCACCAATGGCACAGTTCACTCTCACTTTCATTTTATTCTGCATTCTAACATTCTCTTTATTGTCCAATTCTGTCATTTCACAAACACCACTCGACTCGGCCGAGCAAGAATCAGTGTACCGAGTTCTTGACTCCATCAACTCGGATATCCCTTGGCGCACACTTTTCCCAGACGATCTTTGCATCTCCGCCCCGCACGGCGTTGTTTGTGACTACTTCTCCGACTCCGACGCCTCCACCACCTCCTTTACAACCCACATTACTGAGTTGAGCTTTGGCTTCGTTTCAGACTACTCTCCAAACCCACCTTGCAATGCCAATTCTACCCTTGACCCTTCTCTTCTCTCCCCACTTTCTCACCTCAAAAAACTTTTCTTCTACAAATGCTTCAGCGAAAGAAAAATCCCATTTCCAGATTTTTCATCATTATCTATTCAAAACTCTATTTTGGAAGAGCTGGTTTTTATTGAAAACCCGGCATTATTTGGCTCGCTCAGTGGCAAACTCAATAACTTGACGAGTTTAAGAAGGCTGGTTTTGACTGGAACCAATGTTTCTGGGACAATCCCAGGTGGGTTTGGTGAATTAGTTAATCTTGAACAACTTACACTTTCGAGAAACAAGTTTGTAGGTGAAATTTCTGCAAATATTTTCAGGAATTTGATCAAACTTAAGATTCTTGATTTGAGTGAAAATGGGTTCAAAGGGATTGTGCCAGAATCCATTGGAAATATGACAGAGCTGTTGAAGATAGACTTGAGTTTCAATGAATTTTCCGGGAAAATCCCAGAAAATTTGAAGGGATTGAAGAATTTGGAATTTTTAGACTTGGGTTACAATCATTTTGCCAACTGTGGTGTGCCATTGTTTTTGGGTGAAATGTCTAGTTTGAAGGAAGTTTATTTGAGTGGCAATTTTCTTGGAGGGCAAATTCCGGAAATATGGGAAAGCCTCGGGGGTATTTTGGGAATCGGATTGTCAAGGACAGGACTTATCGGTAATATTCCAGCATCGATGGGGGTACATTTGAGAAATGTATGTTACTTAGGGCTTGACAACAACAAGCTTGAGGGGGTTGTACCTGATGCATTTGGGGCATTAGAGTTTGTTAGTGAACTGAATTTGGAGAACAACATTTTAAGTGGGAGAGTCCCATTTTCTTCATTTTTTGCATCCAAGCTTGGAAAAAAATTGAAGTTGGAGGGCAATTCTGACCTTTGTATTGACGCACAGTCGATATCGGCTAAAGCCAGTAGTACCTTGGGGAAGCTAAAGTTGTGCAATAGAACAGAGATTCCCAAAGTTGCCCTCTTGTATCGTGGGGGTTCTTGTATAAGATTACATGCTTCTTATGCATTAATATGTATTGGGTTTTTATTTTTCTTTAAAGATTTATTTTAGTTGAGCAAAATATTAGGTAGAAAAGGAAACACGGAATAGTATATAGTATATACTACTTATCTATATTGTCTTTCATTTTGATACATGTTAATCTACTTCGTTGAATTCTATATTTATCGAAGTTTGAGTAGAGAAAGAGATTTTAAGTGAACTTCAGAGTTTAATGTCTTATACTCATTCCTTAGGCGTCCTTCGTCCTCTGCTTGGAAACAAGTCCCATGTCTTCTGGCCAACACGATCTTCTATGTACAAATGGTAGAATTGGTTATTTAAATCATGACAACTGGAACTTTGAATTACTCAATTCACGATATTTTGACAGCCGAGGTGGAAAGAGAGGAGAAACAAATGGGTAGTAGAATCTACACGAATGTCGAGGTATCGTGATTTGAGTAAGTCATAGTCCGAGATGTTATAATTTGAATGGCGAGTTCTACAAGTGTGCATTTAACTCCTAAAATAAACTTTCTCCATAAAAAATGACACCATGTTGCGCTACAAATACTCAATATATGTTTAGTACATAGTATTGAACAAAACAATACATTGTATAAAATTGTAACTTCGTTTTCTTCCTTAGACTGTTGCCGACTCCAAATGGAAATAGTTCTGAATCCAGGATGTTTTATACAAGATTCTTGGAATATAAGCAAAAAGAGAAATGAAAATTTTGTTTCAATTGAGAATGTTTTTCCAGCTACCTAGGGGAAAAAGAAGAGAGAAAAAAAATCATTATCTTAGAAATTCCCACTGTTTTCCCTTGTCTTGGTCTTGTATAAATGACTCCAATCATGAAGTTTTAACACAGCTCATTGCTCTGTCGTTGGTACTACTGATTCGCATCAGGTCCAGGATCAGATGCTTTGGATCGTGATCGGGTCGACACAACACTAATTGACTCCTTCGACTTCTTTCTCCTTGACTTCTTTGGAATGTCCGGAAGTTTTCCTGATGTCGACTCACCTTCGTGGATTTGTCGATTTGATTTAACGCTATCGGATGAGTCCTTCGAATGGTTTCGTCTCTGTCTTGATCTAGTCGATCCATCTTTCTTCTTTGGCGAATCATTTGCACCCTCTAATGAAGTATGACGCCTCGAGGATTTTGGTAAATTAGGTAGTTCCCTGCTTCCTTTTATTGAATCTACAAAAGAAAAATATGTTCGAAGGAACAGAAATATTTGATACGCTCAACTCAATATTGGTGACCATGGCAATTGACAAGTTTCCAAGATTATGTACATTGTCAAGTTATACAATCTTAAAAACAATGGTCCGACGGTGTAACTACGACACCTTTTGGGTGTGGGATGCTCGTTTAACCTCTATATTCATCTCACGCTTTAACAAGCGAGATTTGAGATTCTGGAAGAGCCCATCTTTTTTCGTCCTCAAATTTATTTGAAATAAGTCAAATAACTCCTAATTTATTCTTGTTTTAATGAACAAAAAATTTCATTCTATCTAAATAAAAGGCAGAACCAAACCTTCAGAAACCCAT